ATACCGTGTTTCCCCGAAAATAAGACCTACCCCGAAAATAAGACCTAGTGCTAACTTCAGGGATTTCTGTAATATAAGACCTACCCCGAAAATAAGACCTAGTTCGGCAGTAGGAGGCGCACATGTATTGCTGCATCCAAGCAGCCAGCAAGGGGTCTGAGTGTAAAAATCAATGACATGTGCAGCTTGTCTCCTGTCTGCATGTACGGTCTAATAAAATGTCACGATCGCAAAGCTCCCTCCCTCCCTCCGGCCCGTCTGCCCGCCGGTCCACCCGTCTGCATGTACGGTCTAAAAACAAGTAAAGATCGTAAAAAACTTTCTGGCCGCAGCTCCCTCCCTCCCTCCGGCCCGTCTGCAAGCCGTTCCGCCCGACTGCCTCCCGACTGCCTCGGCTTTTAGGATGCCTGGACGGCATCAGAGAGCTCCAGACAGCTGCAGCCAGGTACCGTACTGTGACACTGTGTGACAGTCACAGTACCATTCTTTCACTCCCCTTCTCCAGTACTGTATGATACAGTACATTACATGCCGGTATCTCTGCTCTGCGGGACAGTCACGGTCCTGATTTCTGTACATACCGTTTTTCCCCGAAAATAAGACCTAGTGTGTTTTTTTTGGGAAAAAAAATATAAGACAGTGTCTTATTTTCGGGGAAACACGGTAGGTGCATCCCTAATACTGTGTGATATACTGTATAGGCCGCGGTATTATACTGTGTGATATACTGTATAGGCGTTGTATAGACCTGTGCGTCACACTGCTGACCTCTGCACTCTGCGTCACACCGTAATTAGAATTAGATACTTACACACACCAACAAACACTCAGAGTCTGTTCATTGGTTTTCATTAGTGACATAAACACTGAACCAGCCCGGCCCTCGACTTGGAGCATTTAAAAAACATTTTTTTTAACATTTTTTCATATGTGACTTTTATTTTTTTCACTTTTTTATCTCTGGCAATAGCAGCCAGAGGAATGACAGGTGAATGGGGAAGTGATTTAATACACATACAGGCTCCTCTACTGTACTAAAATTCGTGTGAGTGCCTTGAAGTATGCATTAGAAGCTGTGGCAAGTCAGATAGACCTTTTTCTTGCCAAAGAACATCCAGTATCATCAAGCTCTTTCCTCCCCAGGAGGGTTTTTATTGCTGTCAATCATGGAGGCTAAGCTTTACATGTGGCCGCTACCTAGAGCAGTGCGCCTACAAATACAGCCTGCCTAGGAACGCTCACTCCTCCAGACTGATATTCACTCATCACGGTATTATAATATTTGAATAACTGCAGAACCAGCCCAC